TGGTTGGAATGGACATGAACAACACGTCTCAAAGAACAACAGTTACGAGAAAGTGAGTAACTGTTTTTTACTGCACAGGTGAGTAACTGCCTCTTCTTTGTTTCTGGAAGTATACACGTTTCCATTTAGCCGTATTAAAACATGTATTGTTTGCTTCTGCCCAGTTTACCAAGCGGTCTAGATTGCTCTGTATCAGTGACCAATCCTCTTCATTATTTATCACTCCTCCTGTTACTGTTGTCATGATTTTAACATGTTTCGTACTGCATTTTTTTAACGAGTTTTCTTACCCTGGCTAAATGATATTTTTAAAACTTTCATAATGAGTGCTGGTTAGAACCCAAAGAAATCTCGGCACAGGACTGTGAAATCCCTTAAAACATTATTTTTACCTCTTTAGCTTGAAATAGTATTAAATATTCAACAGTGTCATTTGATGACAAATGTGATATACTTAACCAAGGTTTTATGCTGAATTCATAGCCTTTGTTTAGTCCTTGCTAATTATAGGTAACTTAGACTCAAAGTATTGTCAAACTATTGCCAAACTCTTCCTTTTTTTTTTAAATTCACCAGAATGAGTGAGTTGGACTTAATCAGACTTAACATAGCATTTTGCTAGTGAAAGAGAATCATTTAGTTGGGGAGGAAAAGTGGATGCTAATCTGTTTTCATTGTCTAAGCTTGGTGATGTTCAAAATGTGAAATGCACAAATAACACTGGATTTTTTAAAATTCAGTTTTAATAATTCAGGTGTTACATAGATAAGAGTTTGACTTCTTAAAGTCACTTTAAACCAACATTTGAAACATATATTGAAAAACCTTATGTACACCTGCACACCTATACTTCATATTCCACGTTGCTTGGTTGTAACACCACTGTTGCTTGAGCATTTGTCTTCAAGGTTTACTAATTATGATAGTGTTTTAATGTCTGTCATAAAATTAATATTTAATCTAACTTGCATTTTAAAAATAAAAATGGTATTTTAAGGTGAACTACCCAGTTTTTTTTATTTTATTTTATTTTTTTAAACCCTTCTAGTATAGTAATATGTACTAAATACCTCCCATATACTCTGGAGGAATTCAGCATGTATTAAAGAAATTTTAGGAAAGGTTATACAGGTCACCGTGAAAATTTTCCATTCTGTTTGTACTCTGAGCATTTCTGGCCTTTCCGTTCCTTTCCCAACTGAAGATAGATTTCTTGACCACCCCTTCTAGCTGTTCTTGCTATCTTTGTACTCTGTCCTCTAGCCAGAAAGTTGAAATGTATCGTTTCTATTAACTGTTCTCAGTTACATTAGCTGGCAAATGCTGTACAAGTACCTGCACTAACCCCCTGCCCACAAGATAAAGACTTAAACTGTTTCCACTGTCCAAAAGTGTCAGGTGAACAGGTGTCCAAAAGTTGCTTGCAGCTTCAGGGTGACCTATATAGTACTCAGCCAATCTTTAATATGAAAACAGGGAGAGTCTTAGCATATCCTTCCATACATATTGTTTGAATAATGTATAATTCACTTAGGCATTATAGTGCAATGTGCTGTCCCAAAAGATAATTCCCGTATTTTCAGTTGTCACATAATTTTAATTTAAGGAAAATAAATTTAAAAACTAAAATATTGAAACCAAATATTAACATGGCAGCTTTTCCTCAGAAATGGCGGATTTAAGTCTCATCTCCTGACATTTGGATAAAATAAATTCTAACAACACTTAAAAGTTAAGCTGTAAACTTTTTTTAATGAGGGGAAAAATCTGTTTGACAACTTGTGACCTTGTAGGCTAGGCTAAAATGTCACTTCTTAGATTGTAGAAGACAGTTGGCCTGTATTAGATGTCTCAAAACTGAGAACTCTCTTTGGCTCAACCCTCTCCTGCTAGTGTTCTGTACTCTAGTGAATGTCAAATATTTGGCTTGGTATTGCAGTATGTAAGTTGGCATCCAGCTGTGTTTTTGCTAAATACTGTACTTGCAGCACAGCTGTCTATTTTTCAGACATCTATTATCCTTTCACCATCCTCATGAAATATACAATATTTGTAAAATTTATCGAGAATGCTTGCCAGATTTGCTGGATGACCTAGCTTACTATTCTCTCCTGCTTCTATGAGCCTATTTCTCTTCCGTTAACATGCTTTTAATCAAAGGTCAGCTCAAATATGAGCAAACTTCTTTTGCATGGACTCTCTGATCAGCATGAGGAATTGCATAAGAATTCCTTTTGGGGTTCGCTCACTTTGGATTGCAGATTTTTATGTTCATGCCTCAAAATAATAATTAACCTAGTATCTCTTAACATCCCTCGTACTAATGGATTAAAAATGGTGAAATGAGCAAGTATCAAGGAAAATGAGTACCAGTTGGATCAGAATCAAGTAGTGAAGGGTAGAACTGTAGAATGGCAAATGCAAGAAGACTTGAAAGATGCGACATGACCATCCAACTGGATGCCAATGAAACAAGTTAATATGAATTCATCGTAATTAAATCATATTGGAAAAAAAAGATGGTGCATTACATAATCAGTACAGTAAACTGTTTTAAGATCTGTTTGGAGCAGGGTTAAAGTGGCCAGGAAAAGGTTTCTTCTGTCTAGTGTGAGGTTAACAGATCATTACCAGATGCATATTGTGCACTCACCTCTCTACTCTTTTGCCTGACTCTGAATCCTTATACACCGCTACCTCGATATAATGCGACCCGATATAACACGAATTCAAATATAACACGGTAAAGCAGTACTCCGGGGGGGGGGGGGGAGGGCTGCGCACTATGGTGGATCAAAGCAAGTTCAATATAATGCGGTTTCACAATAACGCGGTAAGCTTTTTGGCTCCCGAGGACAGCGTTATATCGAGGTAGAGGTGTACTCAAAGAACTGTTATGCCACCTGCAAGGCTAGTAGCATAATTTTCCCCACTGTACTGAATCTCTTCCCCACAGGAGGGCAGGGATCCACATTCCTAAAACATCCTAGACTATTAGAATAATGGAGAAGATTGAATCTCTTGAAATGCGATGTAGTATAAACATAACTTCAGAGAGCTTGCGCTTAAGTGATAAACTTTATTTACAGGATGATTGAGCTTTCTGTTATGAAAGCTCAGTGGGCTGTCAGAAACCATATTGAATCAATTATGTTTCTTGGGGTCTTCAGATTATTGTAATTTACATCCTGAACACCTGGCCCACTCAGAGGTACAGTACTTAACTTGCAAACTAGAGAATAAAAAGTTCAGGATGTTTAATCATAGCAAAGAAGAGCATCACTTTATTATCTGACTAAGCTTCAAAAAGCATTCTGTAACCTATCTGAATAGGATGGAAAGCTAAAATTATTAAACTAACTTACACTTGGAATCAGAGTTTCTATCAGTAATGATCTGAGAAGATTGTTAATTTGTGGTTGAGATTTAATTGAGACAAACTTTGTCTGTTTGGGCATGCTATATTTTGCTGTTTCTAGTTGCATGCCTCAAGGCCTACTTTGGAATTGGATTTGTAGTTGTAAATTGAGCTAGGCTGGCAGAAGCACTCCTATGCTAGTATAAACTGTGTCTACAGTAGGAGGGTTTGCTGGTATAGCTATGCCAGCAAAAGTTTTCTAGGGTGGAAACGGCCTTAAACAACCTTCAGGTTCAGGTCTATGGTCTTGGACAAACTCAATTACACAAATGTATTTCTACTCAGAGCTGTTTGTCTAGTCTGCAAGACTTTCTTACCCCTCCTTTGGGACAGCAAGATCCCAACAGAGACAACATGATGGTGACCCATTATATAAACAGAGGGGTGCAAGATATTCCCCCTTATATCATGAAGCAGTTTATTTTGTGAGAATGGTGCATTCTTCATTAAAGCAACCCAATAGCTCTTTATTTCACCTGAGATTTTAATGTGCTGCTGCTGTTGTTTTTAATGGACCCTTCTTTTGAATCTTTCATCATATTTGCTATATTATCTCTCTGTAAGCAACATTTTTAGTGGCTATCACTTTAGCTAACAATGAATGAAAAACAGGCTTTGGTGATGGCCCCCTGCCCTGATATGCTGTATTCCATAAGGACAGAGTTATAATTAGGCTGTACCTGTAGCTTTTACCAAAAAAATTCAGATTATCATTTAAGTTAGTTTATACATCTGCCAGTATTTTTCCCAAGCTGCCTGACTCTCCCACAGAGACTAAGTTTTATACACATAAATAAGAGGACAAGGCTCTAATAACATTATTTAAAACAGTCATTCTGAAACTCTTGCAGGCTTGTGGTAGCTTTTGCTAATAAATCCAAGGAATGATCTGTTGCCACCTAGACGCTCTCAAAGTAGGTTTCAGTTTGTATTTAAGTTTCTTACATTTTGAGCAAAGTAATCCTCCCTTTTCAAGCTAGTGCAGGTACTCCTATGGCTCATTTTAGGGGAATCTCTATTTCTGAGAAGTAGAGCAGTTAGAGTTTTGCTCATATATTTACCAATCACTACTCCATTGTAGGAGCTTCTAGATCAAATTAGGCAGGTCTGTCTTAGTTGTTTTTTAGATAGAAGTCTTATCACCCAGCTCCTTGGGTTAACTGCTGGTCAGTCACTAATAGCGGTATGCAGGTGGACAAATGCTTGCAGAGGTTACCTAACTTACAGTAAGTGGAGTGGTGGTTTAGAGATGCTTTTGTCCACGTGGATACTATGACCCATCCTCCTTCCCCACTTGTAACTAAGTCTTCTACCTGGATGCCTATATTACTGAAGGAAATGAGTGGAGGTTGAGGATGCTCAGTGCTTCATGCCCACTCATGGTTAAAAGATTCTGGGCTCGTGTATGTGAGGTGTACGCATTACAGTAAGATCCAAGTGGACATAATCATCTCAAACTCTAGTTACTAGAAGGCCTGTGACTTTATCCATCCCATGGCACATCAGTACATGGAGTGAACCTGTTAGATTATGTGAAATGTCATAACTGTTGTGATGATTCTTGTTTTATCTGCATTTTTAGGTAATATTCAGGTATCTTGGATTGATGATACATCAGCATTTGTGTCACTTAGCCAGCCAGAACAAGTACAAATAGGTAAGTGTTACTGGAATCATCTCATTGTAAGGTTTGCCTGTTGGCACAATAAACAGACATTGAAAGGGTTGCTACTGTCTCTTCTAAAATTCCTCAGTCCATAATTTCCTTCTAGCTGGAAAAAAGTAGGAATTTCATTTGCCACTATGTTTCTCTTAATAAGCCACTGTCACTTTGTATCAACCATTTATCTTTATGTATGAGTACCATTGACATAACAGCAATACAAACAGGTATGGGAATTTTGTTGAGCTATTAGAGACAGTTGAGGTAGACAGGGATTCAGAACTAATTTGTTCTCCTGCCCAGATTGCTTCCTGAGCATCATAAAAGAAGCCAGCAGAATGGGTAGGTTCCAAGGGGCAAAGAACTGTGAAGTCAAGCAGTATTATGCAGAGGATAACCAGGCTGTTGTAGCCCCAATGCATGTGTTGGGTTTATAGGCTTCACTGCAACAAGTTGAGTAGTTCTTGTAGTAAAACATATTGAAACTCCACGTTTTCCCTATCCACATTGCTACCTGCATATTCTAGAACTGGAAGGGACCTCGAGAGGTCATCTAGTCCAGTCCCCTGCACTTGTGGCAGGACTAATTATCTAGACAATTCCTGACAGGTGTTTGTCTAACCTGCTCTTAAAAATCTCCAACGATGGAGATTCCACAACCTCCCTAGACAATTTATTCCAGTGCTTAACCACCCTAACAGTTAGGAAGTTTTTCCTAATGTCCAACCTAAACCTCCCTTGCTGCAATTTAAGCCCATTGCTGCTGCTTCTATCCTCAGAGGTTAAGAAGAAGAATTTTTCTTCCTCCTCCTTGTAACAACCTTTTAGATACTTCAAAAATTGTCCCTTGTCTTCTTTTTCAGACTAAACAAACTCAATTCCCTGGCTCCCAGTTTCTTTTCTCCTCCTCTTTCTCTCCCCTTCCTCACCAAGCCTACCAAATGGTAGTCTCTGTAGAGCAAAATTGTGAAGGTTTTCACTAGCTGTCTGTGTCCCCAATTACCTTTAAGGTGTGACATATCTGCTTAGATTTGTTTCATGATCTACCAAAGGCATCAGCAGTACAGAGTACCCTTCTGTCTTTATTGTAGAAGAGGACTAAATCATTTTAGGAAAGATGAAAATTAGTTTTTACTTACTTTGGGCTGCCAATATTTGAAAATTCACATGCTTAAAACATGATTCTGTCTGTGTTCCATCTCTACTTGAGTGCTTGTGTAAGTCCACTTTCTAGCGTGAGCATCTTAAGTTTGTTTAGCTCTTACTTATCGTACTAAATACTTAGTGAGCTTTGCCAAGCTGCTCACTATTGCTGACTTTCCTTGGTGCCAAAGAGTAGATTGGCTTATTACCAAAACCAAGTTTTGCAAAGGCATTTTCTCATCAGTAGCTTGTTCAAGAAAACATCAAATGATCTTAAAGCAAGAACACAAAGGCTGTGTACAGCTGAATAGGTAGAAATATGCCTAAATACTTCAGATGGCAAACTTCATTCACTTTAAATCAAATTCAGGTATTAAATCTAACTTTCTCTAATAGTATAACTGTATTATGGTAGTTGGTTGAGATATTACAAACAGAACACTTTATTGTGTTATGCAATTTGTAGCACTGTTCTGAAATGCTACGTGACAGTCATAGCCTAATATCATAGGTTGTTTTCCCTTTTGACAATCATTCAGGGAACTCGCCAACTCACCTGTGGAGTAAATCCATGGAGTCTAGTGAAAGAGATGAGGGGAGGTATCCGTGGTCACAAATCTCCAAACAGTTGAGTTGTTGAATGCATTTTTCTCTGAGTAGTTACTGATTCTGACACAGAAAATAGAAAACAGACTCATAATCCTATTGGACAGAATACTTTATATTAATGTTTAAACATTGTAACCTTACTTAATCCTCATTCCAATTTCATACTGATAAGTAGTCAATGACCTTCTTTAAAACACTGACCTCTAGACACACACAAGGCCCCAATAGGGAAATTACTGCTCACTATGAGAAGTGGAATGAGAGCACTGTTTACTTACAAAAGCTTAAAAAAAAAAAAATTCAGAAAATAAAGTGGCTAAGTGGCTCATTCTTGAGTGAATTTAAAAAATTGACTGCATATACATATGCTTGCTTTGGGAATCAAAATACATTAATTTACATTTTACAGTTCACTGCTACCATATAGTAAACCTAAGTTAAGATGCATCTCAACTGGGTAGCTAATTCAAACTATCAAGTTAGTGACCCTGAGAAGGGTGTAAATCAGTGCTTCTCAAGCTGTGGCCCACCGGCTGTTTGTGGCCCAATCAGCACACAGCTGCAGCCCATGTGACATCCGTAGGACCATATAGGTAGTATGTATATTGTGTGGATGCAGCCCACATAACACATGGAGAGCTGCATATGTGATCCACAGTGGTACATAGGTTGAGAACTACTGGTGTAAATCACTTTAATCAGGCAGAATTATTTTGTCTAGTGCCTAAAGAGAGTGAGTGAGTGAGTGTGTGTGTGTGAACTTTCATTCAAGTTCTTTGTGATTTTAGTTAACCAAGGTAATTGTAATCAGAAGTGTAAAACTAGGGCCTGTCTATGTAGTCCCTCAAAAGTATTCTGCACTATAAGCTGGCATGGTTAGTGGTCAGATAACTGGTCCCTGTCATTAAAGGGTTTACAGTGTTAGACGTGACATGTAGGGAATGATATTAGACAAGCAATAGTTCTAAAAACTTTAGCCATACCCAATATAAGGCTGTAAGATTACTACTTTACTTGCCTAGTATTCCATTTTATTTATTGGCTTATTGATTTTTTTTTTTCAGATGGTTAGGAACAAAACATTTCCCATGAAGACATTTGAAAACAAGTTTTCATTGAAAATTTTCTCAGTAAATCTCCTGGTTTTCATCAAAAAACTGACTAACTTGAGTTTTCAGTTTTTTGATGTAAACCCCCAAAATGTCATTAATTGGACATGTCCTGTGGGCATTTTTTTGACAAAAACCATTTGTCAAAAGTTTCAAATGAGAAATTTTGACCAGCTGCAGATGTTTGATTTATATCTTGCTTTGCATCATAGTTTGTGCTGCTTAAACTGTATTTACTGCAGAAAATAGCATCAGCATTAGCATGCTAATTAACTGGGCCTTGAAGAAGGCTGGATTGTATTTGGAGTCAAAGTGGTCATTTCAGGTGCAGTGAACAGAGCACACATCATAATGGTGAGAGGAGCTGATAGAGTAATGGGCTTAGTGTTGTGTGATGGGCAAAGAGACCATACATGTAGGCAGGATCAGAGCTGAACAGGACATTGAATTTGAGTTGACGGGATTGAGCCATATCTCATGTAAGAAAACTCCAAGGAATGAAGGACTCTGGGAGGAGAGTAGTGCTTACTGCTTTAGCTACAACTAATGTTAAATGATTTTAGCAGCTATGTTTTGAGTACAGTGTAGTGGTGAGATCCAGGTAGGCACCAGAGAAGGGTGGTGTGATAGTCCAGGTAGAGATTAACAAAGAATGGACATGTGTTTTTGCAATAGGGATGCAAAGGAGAAGGAGATTCTGAGATGTTAAAGGTTAGTTTTTAAATAATAAAGTTCGTTGGATTTGATTTGGTAGGTAAGTTTAGGATTGGAAATAGGCATTACATTTTTACAAGGTAAGACCTAATGGTTCATTTTAACTTAAGGGTATGTCTGCACTGGATCTGAAGGTGTAATTTCCAGCTTAGGTAGACCTACACAAGCTAGCTTCCATCTCCAACATCATCTCCAGGATACTGACAGATTCTGAGGATGGGATTTTCTTTCATTATCCCTTAATAATGATCAAAAGAAGAATTTGTGAAAATGCTTTTACAAACTTGTTAAATTGGTCCTGAAGTGGAATTTGACAGTTGACTTAACGTGCAAATTCACATCAGCAAGTCCATGCCTGTCAGTCAGTATGCAGGTGTCAAACACCAAGATGCAAAATTCATTGAGTTTTACATGAGAACCCCTCAAGCAGGACCATATGCAGAAAGCCTATAATAATGTAATAATAATTCATAACCACTGAAAATTTTACATTGAACTAATGCTATCCAACAGTTCAGAAGAGATGGGGGAGCAGCGGGAAATCTCAAAATTAATATAATCCTTGTATTTTAGTCTTTGTAGGTTGACTGTAAACAAATCTAAAAGGCCCTCTATGACTTCCTATGACTGACTTTTGTGGGCTGCCTGCAAATCTGTATAGTTCATCAAGGTGGTTGGTTGGAAGTGGGCAGGACTTTCAGTAAAGACAAGTTCTTCAAGTATGTCAGTGTGAAACATGCTGTAGGTGCACATGAGCCTCAAATGCATGAGACTGGATTTTTTTGGTTAGCAATGTCCATCGAAGCCACACGTGCCCTGTTCCACCTTGTGCTCCTATAGAAGGGCACAGAGGGCGTTCCTCTTACCACCCATTGCAGCAAGATGGAACCTAGCTGCTCTCTAACCTGCTAGATTTTACCTTAGGCTACATTTCTCCAGATTCTTCTGAGAAACTTTAGAACAACCTTTATTTTAATTTAGTCACCTTAGCCTGTTCAAACACTTGTTGGACTGCAAGTTGCTAATCAGATTTCCCTGTAAATCCTCTCTGAACAGGGATTTAGAAATGGCAGACTTCAAATTCTCCTTCCTCATCCCTCTTCAGGGACTCTTCTCACAAGAGCCTATTGCAAACGGAATTGGCCTTATTGCTTTGTCTAGTAGCCACAGAGGAGGTCTCCCAGGAATACAGTGAAGAGGCTTCTACTGATATTTCTTCATAATGAATAAAAATGGGGGCCGGAGGGAATCTTTGTCCTTTCTTAGGTCTGAAGAGACTGCACAAAGATATATATTCTGTCTCAGGTTCAGGACGGTAATACTTGTGTCCATCATTCCAAAACCACGACTCATTCGTGGCTCCTCATCCACCTGGCCCATAGGAAACACCAAAGCTTCACAGTGGGACCCAACCGCTAT